TAAATGGATCTTCTCCATTTATTGTTTTAATAGCCACGTCTTTGTTATCTATTATTTTTTGTGGAACGTCAACTGAAACTCCCTTAAAAACATCTTTTGGAATTAAATACATTTTCTTATTTCTGTCAATGGTAATATTAAAAGGAAGGAAATAATAGAAATATAGCAAATCTTTGTTCCAATTGGTTGACAATTCATCATTTACACTAAACCTTAAATGCATGTCTCTTGTTGAAACAATAAGTTTTTTAATTTGAGAATAGAAGTCATAGAAACTTATTGTGTCTGTATTTATTTTATCTAATTCTGCATCAACATCTACTTTTTCATAATAACTATTTGAAAATGAAGGTTGTGGTGGATTCTTTAATATATCTTTAAATACGTATGCTTCCAAACGTGCTTTTAATCCGTTTATTATTTCTTTATTTTGTTCAGGTAGAGTATCCAACGATTCAATACATTCAAATGCACCATCAACGGTATCTGTTTGACTCCCTGTATATTCATAACATTGCTTTGAAAATGAGACAGTAATAAATAGAAATATAAAGTAGATCATTTTAATGAATATACCTTTCTTAGTTTGTGTTTAAATACTCATTTATCCTATCATTTATTTACCCCTATTTTTGATTTAGTATCATTTTATTACTATTTTCATTTAATTCATTTTTTTCTTTTATCTTCTTTTCTTCTTAAGTTTTTCTATCGCATTAATTTCAATTTTCATTAACATTGCATTTGATTTATTTTTCATGTTTTTAATCCTAACTTAAATTAAACATCATTCATTATTTCGATAATTTCAAATATAAATTATTTCTTAAATGTTATCATGTTAATTAAATTAACATCGATTGATAAATTCGCAATAATTATAAAATAAAATTACATACCTACAATTACCCCCTTTTTTATTTATTGTTATTGTTAAATTTTTAAGAAACGTTTTATGTATAAATATTCAATTATTAAATTAAAATGGTAATGATAATTTTAATTATTCCAATTAATCTCACATAGATATATTAACAGTTTTATCAACTCTAGTTAAGTTGTTGATTATAATTTAATATTGTTGTTTATTTATTATGAAGAAAAAATTAAATAATGATAAAAAGATTATGAATAAATTAAAATAAATGAAATTAATACAAAATAATTAAATGAAATAAGAGTTAAATTTCATATTATGAAAATAAAGAAATCAATTGAAATAAAAATATGGAAATCAAGAAGAGAAAGAATAAAATATATTAAAATTATCATATCCATATTAATTGAAATAATGCATTGAATATAACTAAGCATCATCATTTACATTATTTAATTTAAATTAAATTTAAATGTTATCATTATTTTATATATTATTTTATATTAAAAATATAAA